TATACTGAGCCTAGGGTGACGGGAGGACGCTAGTTTGTGTCCTCCCGTTACCCTAAGGAGAACTATGGGGAAAAACACTGACCCCATAGTTCTCCTTTAATCTCCTTACTTCCAAGGAGAACATGTTTAATTTTAGCAGCCTGTTCTCATAACTTAGATCCTCCATCCCATTTATGATTTTGGTTGCCCTCCTCTGGACCCTCTCCAGTTCCAGGACATCCCCCCTGTTCACTGGTGCCCAAAACTGGACCACATACTCCAGATGAGGCCGAACCAGTGATCTATAAAGTGGCACAATTATGGACTTGTCCCTGCAAAACATTTCCCTCTTAATACAGGAAAGGACTCTACTTGCTAGATAGATACTTGCTAGATACATATTTATCTATCTAGTTCTATATATAGTGTATACATGCATACATCACAAAGACACCAAGATAAACTATACCTGGTGTATAAAAGATTTCCAATGTAAAATAAGAAAAAAGACAATAATATAAATACTGCTTCTCTCTCTCTCTCTCCAGTATATGCTTTTATATATAGTAAGTAGGCCACATCTCTGGTATGTTCTACCATGCACTGACATACATACAAGATCTAACACTTACAGAAAATGTAATATGACTGTACTGCTTTGTTATGACACTCATACACTATAAATGTAGCATATATCCTATTGTAAAGGGTATATAGCTGAGCAGCAGCAACTGCTCCAACAAAGAGTGGTATTTTACTGCTGTTTGCTCAGTGAGTTATAACATGCCGCATTCAATCTCGCCCAGGGCTCTCTGTCCTAAATTTACCGAATGGTCACCTTGCCTGATCTGTCACTGAGTCTGATTAATACATCCCATTCTTACTGTATGTTCCTGGGCTGTTTTAGCACAGCTCTCTAATTTACAGTCGGCTACACTCCGTTTCTCAGCAAAACTGGCTATCAATCAGCAGGGGTTCATGGAAACAGCTGTTCACAGTGAGGCTGAATAGCGGGGTCAGTAAAGGCAGGAGTTTCTGAATGAACGTGGGGATGACGGTGACATATTCTGTGCTGCAGGCTACAGACCTGAACTTAATACTGCGCTTCTTTTAACACCAACCAGTTCTGCCAGAAGAGACAATAAATAGCTAACAATACCATACATGACTGAAGAATGGCAAACAAAACTAGCGTAGTGACCCTATTTCTTTGGCTGGTCAAATGCTATATTCTTTGAGCATGCAGTTGGTATGATTTAATTTGCAGTTGGGGCTTTACATCCCCGATGCCTAACATGCGGCCCTTTAATGCTTGCTGTGCGGCCTTTTAGTACCGCACATGGATGTCCTGGAAGGGTTAATGGCAGCAGACCTGGAGGCTGAATCTGGGTGGACTCAGAGTCACTGCTGTGAAGAGTGCTGCTACTGATTATGAAGTCCAGGATAGAGAGAGAGATCATCCAGCCTGCTTAGAAGTGCAAGATGGAGAGAGGCATGCAGGCTGTGTGTCACTACTTCAGAATGGAGAGTGTGGGTTCAGTTGCCTTGTCCGGCGTCTGTGTTCATTGCAGGAACACCGTACAAGTGAAACTGACGGCTTAAACTGACAAGGAGGGAGGAGAGTTGTGATGTTGGCAGAGAGGAGGTGGGATGCAGGAAAGGTAAGTTTCTTACAGTTGGAGCGGGAGCATTGATTTGTAAAGGAAATGTAATGGCAGAGATGTCTAACAATCTCACATAGGCAAACTCCGGCCCTTCAGCTGTGGTGCAACAACAAATCCCATTAGGCATTGGAAGACTCTGTCTGCCACAGGAATGCATCCCAGAGGCAGATGCATGATGGGATTTTTAGTTTCACCACAGCCGGAGGGTCGGAGATTGCCTACGCCTGATCTAAAGTAACATGTCTTCATTTCACACCTGTAGCATGTCTCCGGTCTTTGGTCATCTTCTTTAGTATGTTTGCAGTCTTCTGCAGCATTCTATAGATATAAAATTATGTATGGCCCTTTGGTGCAGTTATGGGACACAATTCATGCCCCCTATACCTCAAAAGTTGGAAGTCACTGCTTCACAGAACCCTGATAGAGCATAATGTTGAAAGAGTCACCAGTGACAGGCTGGGCCATGGACTAACAGATATCCCATCCCAAGACATGGATAGTGAAAAGGAACATCTGCTTGTCTTCATAGAATTCTTGTTGTGCTTGGACTAGGAGAAACCTATCCAACTTAGCTGACCTGCAGACACAGTGCACATATTGAAAAACCTCTGTTTTCGTTCATAAAAAAGAAAATGATTGGTGGTTGTTTATAATAACGCCACTTGCAATAACCAGTGTTCCTGATGACTGGAAGTTCTTGGAACCACTATAGCTGCACAGCATAAATAAACTGTTCACATTGCTTTTCTTAATTAATGCACACATTATAGTTCACTGTAGCCATTTGAGGTGCATTGTTTGAAACAAACAGACTTAAAATGACTTGCAACAGATCAGTATTCATTTCAGCAAGTGATAGTTAACCAGCCTTAAATTCTAAACAAATCCATTAGGCTGATCAATGTATTACATGCTTGGGGTAAAAAGTGGTTTACTTGACTAATCAAAAATCTAATTAAGGCAGGAGCCAGGATCTGGAATAAACACACCCATAGATTTGATGACAAAGAAAGCAATAAAAACCTGAAATTCCAAAATTGGAAGGTACCCGCAAGTCAAGGAACCCTCCATTGACTTGCGGTTGTACCTTCCGATTTCCTTTCATTTAGTTGCATTCCATTGCATTTTATTTTCAGTGTTTCTTTTTTGGCAAGCTTTATGTGAAGTAACATGTCCTGAGTGGACATACTTCACTCTAACGGCTTGCGATGCATTCCGTCAGCATGCGTTTTTCACACGTTGCAGTGCACTGGAAAGTGCTCTACTTTTTTTTTAGCCCAACATACAGCAATGCAACACTGCGGTGTGAACTGTCCCCATTCACACCCATTCATTTTTCATTGCCCGTGCGTTACTGTCCGTTAATATACGGATGATAATACAACGCAACTGATCCGGTGTGAATGGGGCCTTAAAAGCTTCTACAGTAAAACTTAATGAGACAATGCCAGTTGAGGGTTAAATCCAGCAATCCTCTTCAATAGAAGACAGCATATACTCACCTCTTTGACAGTCCATTGCTCCTACCTCTCCTCAGTTTCAGTCCCCTGCCATGTGATGGTTCCTTCCTTTAAGCCCCTATGCCACTGCAGTGACATAGGGGTCAGAGGAAGGAACTAAAGCATGGAGTGGGGGGCAAAGGCATTCAACACTTCTGGAAGTATTAATTGCTCAAGAAGCTTTGCAAGATTGCAGCGTTGGAACAGAGAAAAGACAGGAGAAATGGGCCACCAAAGAGGATAGTATATCTCCTCTACTATTGCAGGCATTTAAATCTTAAGAGACTTTGCAGGGTCTTAAAAAACAATTATTTTGCTTTAGACATACTTTAAAGCTTGACTCAGGGATAAACAAATATCACCTGAGTAGGCAAAAGGCACGTTTTGTTTTTTTACTTGAATCTCGAAATGCTTCGTTTATTTATTTTAGATCTGTGCAGTAATCCAGTGTGACATCTCTGCACAGGAGCTTCCTGTAATAAAGACCAGTCACTGCTGCTCCCTCTCCTGGTGCAGGGAGACTATTATTTAAAACCAGCTAAGCACACACCATTGTCAGTCTCTGCATGGAATCTACTTATATATGCATATAGGTTCACTGCCCGCTGTAGCTCTGAGACATGCCAGTAAACAGTAAACATACAGGGGTCACTCTTTGGAAATCTGTACTGGTTCGTCGCTTGTTTCCATTTTTTTTTGCCTCTCCTTACCTTAATTCTTCGCTGTCCATCAGCTTCTTGTAGGCTGTTATTTCTACATCTAATCCCATCTTCACTGCCAGGAGGTCCTGATATTCTTGACCATAGTGGGCAATTTGCTATCAGGAAATTAGAGAAAAAAAATAAGAATAAACTAGGAATACTGTGTACAGTACCTACTGTGCTGTATATGTCCGGCTAGGGAGATTTCCCCGCATTTTCTGTTCTACAGGCTTAGCAAAGAATGAAACGAATTCTCTACAAAGTGATCAATCACCAGAACTTCTGTTCCCATTAGGACATTCCCTTTCCATTGCTGCTCCAATAATAACTGAACTGTTATGTATTATATCACTTTCTGACCCACTGACAGTGGTCAACAGAAAAGGTGATTCTAACTCTTCACCACCCAATCCCAAACTAAATAAAAAGGCTATAGGCTTAGTTATACATACACTTTAATAAAACAATGAACATGGCCAACATGTAGCATTCTCAGCAAGAAAGAACTTCCCTTGGTCAAACTGTTGTTGATACCAATCACCTCTGTATACTTGTGCTGCTGAATGGTTGCTCCACAAGCAACAGTTTTACCAAGAGAGGTTTTTGATTTAGCAATTACACATGAGAGAGACAGACTAATCTTGGAGTACTGTGAAGAAGTTGAATACATCCTTTCTGAATTGGTATGGTGGGGTAACAAGCACTTACATTCATTATTTGATCTATAATTTTTTTTCTCTAACGTTATGTTATGGACAGGGCCATCCCTATAGTCTGGCAGCGTGAGGCTCTTGCCTTAGGCTGCATTTCTTTGGGTCATGTAGGTGGGTGTCAGGCAGAGGGGCATGGCCGTTCTGATGCACAATGTTTGCAGTGTGCCTGCTGCCCTCTTTACAGCAAGAGCATTCCAGGTTGCTAAGAGTCGGGGGAGATGTGTAAGGGCCATAAACAGCTTCCCACTCAGCTCTTAGCAACCTGGGATGCTCTGGCTGGGGTGTCCCGCACCGCTCCTGGCAACCAGCGATGTCACTGGGCAGGACCTCGGCCAGAGTCTAAGCCAGAGCTGAGAAGGGAGATGCTGCAGAGGCCCCGCCTCTTTATCGCCCCCACCGCAGAGCATACAAAACCACTCCCGCACCCCCGCTTGCCACCTCTGGTTATAGGATTTATTGTTACGTATCTTTATGTATTGCTGGCCAAAAATAAGTGGTTTTATTTGCCCCCATTCCTCCTAAAGCTGAGTATACACTGTTATATTTTCAAACAAAGCTTCATAAGAATTATTGTTAGAACATTCGATAATGCAATCAGAGAAAGTTGCTCGAAATCTCGTTTGATTTTTACAACCGATTTTGGATTGAATGGAGTTTCTTGAATGAAAGCCACATTCACTCATAGAATTTTGTTCCAAATGGAAAAGTTTTCTATCCTTCTTCTTCTAACCCTATCCTTTTTTTTTTCTCCTCACTACAGTCTAAATCGATCATTGATTTAACCCTATTAGAAAACAGAACAAACGTTCCGAAAATGAATTTTTGTAAACAGAATTCAACTGATAGTCACGGATCAACTACAAATTGGAATTACGTGTTCCCATATTGGCTATATAATAATTAAAGACGAGTTAAAAAAAAAAAAATGTTTTGGTGTTCTTTACCTTTCTAATGTCATCTAGCTGAGCCTTGAGGGCTGAAACCTGCTCTTGGTATGTGTCAGTATCGCTGCCGGTGCTGGTCTCTGCTTCAGCGATCTGAGTCTCCAGTTGAATGTTCTGTAAAACATGAAAAGAGGCTTTTATAAAGCCACCTCGGTCATCCTGTTACTAAGGAAAATCAAAAACTGGCAAGTTTTATGAGGTTTTGTTTTGCATTGAAAAAACAATAAAATATAAAGCATACAAACAAAAATGCAAAGTCATTGCAATTACCACACATAGCCCTCCCCCACCCCCTTGGAAAATATTAATTAAACAAATCTATACATACTGTGAGTATGCAGAACGGCTGTTATATAAATGAGCTATAAAATGTATTATTTTATATAATTCATACACTAAGGGGTTTATTTATAAAAGTTCCGCCTGGCGTATAGCTGCTCATATGGCGTTCACACAGAGATATCGTTCCAAGATGGTACTGATAAATATTGGACATCCTATACTCATCAGCACCATCTAAGGGTGCTAGTGCTGTGCGAACAGCATAGCTGGATAGGACACTTATAAATCTATTTATTTCTTACAGGTATTTATATAGCGCTGACAATTTTTACACAGTGCTTTACACACTGCACATTCACATCAGTCCTTGCCCTCATGGACCTTACAATCTAAGGTCCCTATTGTGCACATATAATTCATTTGTTATTTTCAAACATTTGTCATATAAATGAATACGTACCAGGCTCTTAATCCTTTCTATTTCCCGTTGAACTGCGTCAACCTGCAGCTTCATCGTCCTGTACTCCTCCTTGAATGAAGTCAGAGTATGTACGGATGGCTGTGTGTGGCCAGAAGCCAGAACAATCTGTGCAGATGACAAAACCAAGGTTAGAAGTGAAAGATTCTACTTAACATGGTAATGCAGCAAGACTATGAATTCTGCAACATAGGAGTGTCTAAAGCCAAAATATGTTTTACAGAGTGTAGATGTTTTTATCACTGTGTGCTGGAGATCACCTTTTCTGTTTATTCATTGCCTCCAACACACTGAAAGAAATGGCAAACCCAAAATGTAAATCTGTTAATGGGGACACCTGATCCGGTGACAGTTGAACGGATTTCTCCTCACTTTGGATACATTTTCTCCTACTTGTTGTGTCTCTAGGACAGGAAGTGAAGGGAAATATTCCTAATTGGTATAGAAGGCAACAAACTTGACACATTGAATCTAGTATTTTCCACTGTGCTGCAGTAACACAGTACCATGCATTGTGGTGTGCCGTGCTAAAGAAAATTCTTCAGGAGGGATGCTTTGTCCATTGTGGTGCATTGGGCAAGCCCAATCAAATAAATGAGCTGCCTTAAGGCAACAAACATAAATGAGTGTTAAGTAACATGCATGTTGTTAAAGGGTCTTTAAGATTCAGCAAAATGGATAACAAAGACATCCTTAGCAGAAAAAATGTTTCGTATCTTGAAGATATGGCTGCACTCGCCCATAGATATCAATCAAGTATCATCTTTTAAAGGATCAAGGAGACTGGTTTCTATTGGTAAGTGCTTCAGGTTTCTAGGCCCCTGTGTTGGTGAAACACAGGAACCTAGAAAAGTAGATGGGGTTTCTGGTATTGATTACAAGGGAATTGAAGAGGTGTGCAGTACTACAATTACAAATCAGATTAGAACTGGAAAGTGACAGTAGCTGTTAAAATTAGTTTACAAGCATCTGGTATAGATAAGGTCACCTTGTTTTCAGCTGCTGTGAATGCCTCTTGTTTGGTCTTGTGGACGAGTACTTCATACTGTGATTTCATTTCTGAGATGGCTGTCGTCAGGTCCACAGCTTGAGCATAGTTGTCAAATGAAATGGAAACGGCTGCTTTGGTGCCACTTGTAATGATTGTCTGAACTTCTCTTACTTTCTGTATACAGAAGAACAAGATATTTATTTACAGCCAAATAAATAAGGTCAAATATTGGCAACTTTGACAGGTGACTAATCACCTTAATAAATATAGGACAGAAGAAAACAGATTAAAGACCATTTCACATGGGTGGTCCGATTCAGTGCATCAGATGCCCAATGTAAGACTACGGGCAGCTGGGTCTAAATGGACAGACATTTGTATACACCCGGTAACCCCTGACTCCGGCTAGGTCCAGAAAAACAGGCAAAACAGTGTCCGTTTTGCCGGACCTGAATGTGCAATCTGATGTAAACTGACAAGTCTGTTTACGTCTGATTTTCCATAGACCAACATGGGCTCCAGTCATATCAGTTTAAAAACTGGATGGACACGGATGTCACATCCGGCAACATCTGATCCGTACTTCTCCGTTCAGGAGGGAATCCATGCACGGACCCCTCCTGATCAGCCCATGTGGAAAAGGGGACTTACACAGTCCATTCTGTGCTACAGATGCTCCTGATTTGAGCATGGCTTTTAATGATCATACAACAGTTGCCGTTTGCTAGAGGGTGATAATGAGGAGCGCATCTGGAAGTGCTTTTGATCACACACATGATTTTTCAGTTTGTTGTACATGTTCTAATGATTAATATAAAGTGATAGCGGACAAGATATTTGAATGGAACTCTAGTATATAGAGTATGTTTTCATAAAAATATCATTTGCATCATAATTCTTTCAACTGACCTCTTTCCTTTGCTGTGTTCTGCAAAGTAGTTCTGTTTTGGGTCACTGGGCCCCACAATTCTGATTACTGGCATTCCTGAGATGCTGTACCGAGGAGCTCTGAATGCCGAGGTAACAAACTAAGTCCCTTCTCTGTCATTCAGGTGCAATCTCACAATGTTTAAGCCTGAACGCCACATATACAGTAATTATTAAAAATGGCTGAATAAACAATACATTTGATTTTACATTTTAGAATCAATCCAGTCACTGGATTACTTTATCTAAATGGTTCCAAGGCTACTTTCTCTGGGGATCAGTTCCATTTCCTGCCTCCCATTGTGTTGGGTGGTGTATACTTACAGCATCATACACTTGTTTGGAAAGAGTAATTTGATCCTCTACTCCAGTCAGTTTGGTCTGAAGGTCAAAGATGGTCAGGTACAAGTGATCAACATCCTGAAGGAGAGAATTGAAAAAAAAAAGTAAATTAAGGTCATGCTGACAAATAATGTAACTGCTGCAAATATTGAAATGTCTCCTGGTCACTTTATTTAGAAAATTATGTATAAATACAAATTGCCAGGAATACAAATAATGAGTCTTCTGTATGCATGTATACATTGTGCTCTCTACAGAAGCTGCAAAATATCTGTGGTTTAACCCATACATACATAGTTTTTTTTAGCATTCGTGAAAAAAAGATCTATTTTTACAATATAGAAAATCTTTGTTTTATACATCAACAATAAAGATGTTGCAATGGGACCCAGAACACTACGGGTTAGCTAAAGAGACAGCACAGAAGTGCAGCTTGCTTTGAGGCTTCATCTCTCAGACTGAAAACTGGAACCGAGTCCGAGCCCTCTGATAATGGAGGAGATGATGCACTGATGACTCAGTAAGGTTCATTAACTAATTAAGTAGCAAAGGCTTTGTTCGCTTGGTTTGGTGAATAAGATAAAAGCTGTGTTCATTTTGAATACTCAATCACCTGACAGGTAAATAAAATAGTCCCGGCCTGCAACCATGCAGGATCTGATTTCTTCAGCTACCACACGTGCACAGGTCAATGCAATATCTCGGTCCTATATAGCACATGCTCTGTGGCTTTTGATCTGTGAGGTCACTACCTCACTGGATGCCCAGGCCGTGCACTCGATACAACTTCCATATTCTGGTGTCATAAATTTGGTTATGAGATCACATGCATGGGCAGTAGTGTCTGTATGACCTACCGTTAATGTGCATGTGTGGGATCTCGCCACCATATTTCTGACATTATAATATGGTGGTGGTGTTTAGCGCAAGCGCATGTACGCTTACACAAAACCTGGTACATCCAGGGCCCTTCAACAGTGCATATGCAAGTGTTGACTATGCGTTATTTTGCATTCGTGGGTATGTGATCTCCCCTCAGCTTAATGATGCAATCACCCACCATGCTGCTACAATCCTAAATGGAACTTAGATGCCATCTTTAAGAAGTCCAGGGGATGATGCTACTCTTCTAAAATGGCATTTTCTATGTAACAATTTTGAATATAACTGAATAAACATTATTTATATCTAACCAACGAAGCAAATGTTTATCTTACATTATTATTTTGAACTGGCAAACTCTGTATCAGGATGGAACTAAGAGGGAAACTAAAATTCTAAACTAAAACTTCCTGTAATCTTCTTTCAATATAATTATAGGAAGAACTGCCTTAATTTAGGTCTTATATATCTGCCTGGAGGTCAGCTTAAGACAAAATGCACTTATCCTTTTTGCCCCTTTGCCTGACCTTACCTAACCCACCCTCCACCTCGACAAATGCCCACTTATCTTGATCCAATGACCATTACCTCCGTTCGTCTTCACATTTAGCAGTGCAAGTCTCACTCTCTTGACGGCACCAGCGCATTACAGCCCATAGACTTCTATAGCGCCTCTCCTTTCATCTCCGGATGTCGGACACAGTCCCATAGAAGTCTATGGGGTTCTAATGAGCATGAGCAGCCAGGAGAGTGATACGGCACTGGATCCAAACAAACATCAGAGGCTGTCGTTGTTAGATCTGTGGAGTGGAAGGATGGGTTAGGTTATGTCAGGGCAAAGAGGAAAATGTCCATTCTGACTTAAAGGTCAATAAAGGTGCATATTTTACTGGTAGAGTGGAAAGAGCTGGGATGAGTGCATTCTGTACATAACACATGACTAAGTGCCCAAATTCTATTGACTACAGCATAAACACCCTGGAGATTTACCCATAAACTTCTGCAAGACTGACCCCTTTTCCTTTAACATTGACACTGACCTCTTTGAGTGTAGTCCATTCTCCCTCCAGGGACTTTGTGACTGAACTGTCATCATCATACCTAAAAGCAAACATAATAGGTCACATTAGGGTTTACTGATGACACCGTAAGAAGCTATGGTTATTAAAAAATAGGTCCTAGTATTAACACTTTGACTGGTTTCACAACTGCCAACAACAGCTCCTTAGATCCTAAATAGAACAGAGTTGTCATGAATTAACTGCATTGCACTAAAACGGCAGGCAGCAATGTAAACTGGCAGAGAGTTTAATATCCAGTAATATCAAAGAAACTCAGCTAAACTAACAATTCTGATCAAATATGCCACTTCTAACTTTGTACTCAATTGTGTTTTCTATTCCTTTTCTATATAAGGCATTACCCGTGAGATAAGCTTCACAACGGACTTCAGACAGCTCAGGGATCCTATAAGACTTTTGGAACAGCTATCTAGAATAGCAACCCTGCTTATTCTCTGATAATGAAAAAGTTGATCAAGCAACTGCCAAAATTAATTTGAAAAATGAAGTAGAACTATGGTCTCACATTTAAATCTTATGTGCTGCAGCACTTAACTGGAAATGTATCTGCACTACAGTTTTCCTTTAGTCCCCATACAAAGTCTCCCAAATACATGTTGACTCTGCCAGTGAAGTCAACCTTATGTAGCATCCTGGGACGTGGTGACAACGCTACTACACTGCTCCTGAGTTTAGAGTTGTGTTGCTGTTCTCATGAGGGCTGTTGTAGGGGGCATGGCTATAAGCCTGTAGCCTGTCAATCAGAAACTGGCTACACCAAGCCCTGCCCTCTTCCTTGCTTTCTGGGATGACAGTACCACCTCTGTTACTGAAACCCTCCCACTGTGAGTGGCCGGTGGCAGTGTCTGGGAGGGGGAGTGTGTGAGACACAAATAAAAGAGGATTCGGCTCACTAGGAGAGTAAAAGGGACATTTCCTTGTTACGTGCAACACATATGTGTAACTAAATCTGGGACTCTTTCAGAGTGTCACCAAGAAGCTATTAGAAATTTAGGGGCAATGATTTGACCAGTTAAAAAAAAATCTAAGCTAAAACAAGAGAGTTCTTCATGAAAGCTACTAAGGTTTTAGATTATATAAATACCTTAATAACAAAGACAATAATATTACATAAATAACATAATATTACATGAATAATATTTGTGATCGTATTTGATGTAACAAACCCACAAAAAACTCACTTGGATTGTATTTCACCAATTGCACTCTTGTAGTGATCAATTTCTGCCAAAAGTGCTCCTTTGGTTTGAGTTAGGACCTCAATCTGGGCTTTGTAGCCAGCTACAGCAGTGGTGGTAACCACGGTGGCATTGGCTGGTCCATTTGGGTCACTTCGATTGTAGAGGTTGATTTGAGCTTTGAGGATGGTATTCTGATGTTCCAAGCTGCGGACCTGAAAAGCACAAGATTATAGTCTTTTACATTGTTATAATTGAGAACATACATTCATCATCAGTACATTGTAGTATATGTATCATCATTCTAGTCCCCAGGGCTGATCTGGGAATAGAATGTGGGTATAGGCCTCTCCATATCATTCGGCCTATTAGGGCAATATGTAATAAATGCACATTTGCTGGTAGTATCATCTACACCCTCAGAGACATCTAAAAGGGGCTGCTAACATATTTTATTGTTATATATACTGTATATGTTTAACAACGTAAATAGGATTAAACTTGTTTAATAATGGTACTGTAAACTACAGCAACATTTTGATTTAATTAATCCAATTACATTAACGTAGATGGTATCATACTACTGATTAGCATATAATAATAATAATAATAATAAAATGGAGTTGATTTGATATAGACGACAGCATTCCAGGGACATGTGGTCAGGGGAGGCAGAGCCTCACTTAGAATAATGGAGGAAAAAGCTGTCAGCTTCATGTCTGAAGCTGATAGCTTTTTCTCCATTCAGATCAGCATCTAACAGGTTACACAGCAGGGAAACCCTCCCCGCTGTGTAACCTGTCATGGAGCCTCAGCGGTGAGGAGCAAGTGAGGGACAGGGAGGCTCCTTCCTGTCTCTTCCCTTACACTAGCTTGGGGGTGGGGCTTCATCCGGTGGGGGCTTCGTCCCACAGGAGGCGGGGCTGGGGAATGCCTCACCCCTAGCAAGAGGTACCGCACGTCACTGCAGCATTCTGTGTTCCATAGTTGTATAAATAAATGTTTTTTTAAAGAAAAGTTCTTAACATAATTAAATTGATGTGTAACATCACTTCTAGAATCCTAAAAGAAATAAGATAGGTCCGCAATCACAAAATGACAAGTAGAGTACATGACAGAAAATGTTGCAGAACCTGGAACTCTTTCTTTTGTTTTCAAAAGTACATCTTGTGCACTCAAGTCAAGGCTAGACTGCAATGTACTAAACAATGGTAGCATCCTACATTATAGGGCCAACTTACAAATAGTAAAATTGGAAAAGTCAGGAACACCGGAGCTGCTACCAATAACAACAATGACATTGCACGCTGCATATGAAAGATCATATAGATACATACTTTGCTACAACTACTATAATAACACATTTGTTTTTGCTCCACTTTTTATAATGCAGCCCCAAAGAATGTGCTTCCATTTGTATGAAGTAGTATAGCTGTACAGTGGTACCTCGGTTCACGAACTTAATTCGTTCCACGATTCTGGTCACGAACCGAATTGGTTGTGAACCAAATTAAACTGTGATCAGACAGCGATCTTGACTACAGAAAGCCACCACCATGTGTCAGAGCGGGGAAGATGGCTGCAGTTGTGTTCATCACCCGATGCGGAGTTTGTGAACGGAAGCAAAATTTTGCCAAACTTCCGTTTGTGAACCGAGGTACCACTGTATTTGCATTTGAATTAAACATTTAAGAAAGGCGGGGTTTGCCTTATAACATACCAATAGTGATGTAGGTTTGGGGGTGGGTCTGTTAGATTTAGTGGCATTGCCTGAGACAGAACTCTGAAACCCTGTACTTGTGTTTAGACATGTGTACTGGCAAAAAATTTGTTTAGTTTCGTTTTGATTCGGATTTTGTGTTATTTCATTTTTCGTGATTCGGGTGTTAAAGTCAATTCGAATTCGGACGAAATTCGTTAGCGGTAGTTCATTCGAATGTTCGTTTAGTTTTTCGTTTCTTATTCGTTTCGTTCATTCGTTGTAGAAAAGTGACATTTGAGGGGAAAAAAATGTTTTTCTCCTTCTCTAATGTCACTTTGCTGCAACGAACGAACGAAACAAATAAGAAACGAAAACGAAGCAAACGTTCGACCGAATTTCGGAAACGGAAATTCGGATTCGTTTGCATTCGTTATGTCTGTAATTCGGAATTTGGATACATCCGAATGTTCAAATTTCCGAAAATTCATCCGAATTTTGTTTCGGAATGAAACGAATCGCACATGTCTACTTGTGTTCACTGTTAATGAATCTGGTTTCAGCCCCTATGCGGTCCTACCACTGTAAATGCATTTTTTTAATTCTTAGAATTGAGGCCATTGTATTGTACTCTTCTGGTCACAAAGTTAGATTTTGCTTCATATCTAGACTGTAAAATTAAAAAAATAAAAATGTACCTAGTTGACCATGTTTAATAACAAATAGTAAAGATAAGTTCTCACACTCCATAAATGTCAGTAAATTGCACTAATTTATTCAATAAAATAAAAATAATTCTGTCCAGCCATCTGTAGAATTAAAACATTCAGAATGTTTGCCTAATAGAGATCAAACAGTCCAGGTGAATGTGACAATTTCTGTTAGATATAACAATTATGTGTCATTCTAAACTGGAGAAAGTTGATCTGTTATGCTGAAATGGTTATGTCTACAGTAATTGTGGTATAGAATTGTGGTATAGAATTGTGCTCGACTACACTAAGGTTCAGGCTTTACCAGCTCAGTTAATCTATGGTCACTTCCAACACCTAGCCTTGCTATGCGTAATCCAATCTGAATCTAACGGGTATTAGTGGGAAACACAAGTTTGCTAGACTGCTGCAAAAATAATTTACCGTACATAAAATATATAAAATGACACCAAATAAATGCACCAAATAATATCACTTATAGGTATACATGAGAAACTCTTCAGCAGACTGCTGAGTATGTGAAATTATGGTACTACAAAGCAATCCGATTTATAGAATGAAGTGAGTTCATGGTATGTCAGCTCAGAACAAACACTTACTTAATACACCCAGCACAAATCATCAAGATGTTAAAACTAGACAAATGTCTTAACTGGGTGTGTAAAAAGGAACAAGATTGGCTGTGTTGATTTATGTCCTTTACAAGATCACCCCATGGAGTTTCACTACTTCCTATAAATAGCTCATAAATATTACCTTCCTTATGTTACAATTATCTCATACAATATGTCCCATATAAAAATAGTCATGTGCAAAATGCAATTATAACCCTATCAGTGTGTAGACTTTCTCATGGTCAAGCAGCACTGAAATGAATTACACAGAACTGTACAACACTGAGTAAAGGGCAACTTTCAAAGAGCAATAATGTGCTGTATACCATAACATTCACAGATCAAATCTATCAGTTTATATCAGTTTATATACTATGATCTACCTTCTGATAGCCAATCATTACTGAATGAACCCAGAGGCTTATGGAAAAACCTGGTTGAAAGAACCATTGTAAATTCTAATCTAAACCATAAAAAGCAATCAGAGAAGAGTTCAGTGTATTCAGGCTAATTATGGCTAATCTGTGATTGCTTGCTATAGGTTACTCTTTAATACATGATACACTTAATTAAAAAAAATCCCATTGAGCCTGTAGTCACACCTCAACAGGTATCAACCATGCAAAGATGAATGGTCATTTGTTCATTCCAGCTTTAGGTCACATCCATGTCAGCCCATAAAGTACCTTGTCAATGAAATTGGCAAACTTGTTGTTCAGAATCTGGAGTTCCTCCTTCTCCTTCTGGCGGGTGACTTGGACAGTGTCCACGGAGGGCAGTGATGGGTCAATGGATGGCATTTCAGAAATACCTGGAACAGCTCCTAGACCCCCAAATCCCCCCAAACCCCCAAGTTCTGGTCTTCCACCACCAAACAGTAATGAAGGGCCTGAACCATAGCTACCAACCTTGAACCCTCTTCCTCCAATGCGGCTCTTAAGAACCCCAAAGGCTCCTCCAGACCTACCTGACCCAAAACCTCCCCCTGCGCCTAGACCAAAGCGACCTGAAGCTCCACCCCTCAGCCCCAGACCTCCACCAAAGCCTCCACCAAGACCTCCACCAAAACCTGCACCCAAACCTCCACCATATCCTCCACCAAAACCTCCACCAAAACCTCCACCATATCCTCCAGCAAAGCCTCCTCCAGTTGCTCCTAACCCAACCGCCCTGGAGATGCCAATGCCACCAAAGCCACCTCCTGCGCCACCTCCAAACCCTCCTGATCTAAAGTTCCTATTTGCGGAGAAGAGTCGGTTCCCTCCATAGGAGGCACCATAGCGTACAGCCGAGCTGCTGACTTTGACTTGTTTTTCCACTGTCATCCTGAGAGCTTGATGAATCCAAGATTGAGACCGTCCAGAGCAAAATCTCATCTGAGGAACCGACCAGTTATATACCTCAATGGAGAGTCCAGGGGAGACGCACGAACTCTGCTTCCCATTGGGCGAGGAGTCAGTTTAACACGAATCATCAAAATTCCACTAGCTGGAATCAAACTCTACAATCAGCGAGAATAGCTCGCCCCGTGCAGCAGCGATCAAACTCAAGACAAGGGGTAGTAAGCCACAGAAAGAATTAAGAAAATGTCAGTGTCTAAATTTAAGCTCTTTGCCAAGGGCTAGCGTTGCCTTTCATCTGCTCCCAGGCAGGAGATTGTTGGAACTTGTAACTATCTTAGTCAGAGGATCATCATTCTGAGTGACATTCAGCCATGTAGACTACACCTGTATCCACTAGTGTCAGGATGAAGGAGATGCTGCCACGTCAGTAATATTCAGCAGCCTACAAAGTTAGGGCTAAGTATTATATTCTGTAGTATACTAAAAATGAGGGTTTCTGGGACCCAGCTTTTGACACCCTCTGCAACCTTTGCATGTATATAAGGATTATTTTTAAAGTGACACTAAACTCGGGAGTTAAACCTAAAAGTGCATTCAAGTGCCTTAACTATGAACAAATGCCTTATTTGTGTATCACTTGGCTGTAGATCCTCAAATCATCTCTGAATTGGTGCTGACACTGTCCTTCCTTCTGGAGGGTGGCTACTTTTGTTTCCCATGATCCCTGAGTGCGTTGTAAAGTCGTCACCGCTCCAAACTCACTTGATGGACTACAATCACAATATAAATTAGTAAAGTAAACCTGAGTTGGAGCAGTGGCTACTTTACAACACACACAGGGACCATGGGGAACAAAAGTAGCCGCCCTCCAAAAGGAAGGACAGTGTCAGCGATGATTTGAGGATCTACAGCTAAATGAAGCACAAATAAGATACAGCTTTAATAGTTATGGTACTTGATTGCATTCTTAAGATTTAACTTCTGCGTTTAGTGTCACTGTAAGCCCAAATCTAGCTGTAATTTTTTATTTATCTTTATTAGAATGCAGAGCTGGGAAATTGTGTGTGATGGGGTCCCACAGTAAATACATCAAGGAGCCCCATGTTTGTAATGCAGTTTTTCTCAACTCTATTACCACAGAGAAACCCCGAAATAATTTTTAGATCTCAGGAAACCCCTGCTAATAATTATAATATCTACAGTTTAGGGCAGCGTTTCTCAACCTTTTTTTCAGCTACGGCACCCTTTAAAAGTATGCAAAATCTCAAGTCACCCCAGTCTAAAATGTAAAAAAGCATAAAGGTAAAAATCCATACCAGACCCTTAAAAGAGAACTATGGGGTAAGTGTTTTTCCCCATAGTTCTCTTTAGGGTCACGGGAGGACATATACTAACCTCCTCACGTGACCCAAAGCTCAGTATGTAGCGGGCTATTGCCCGCAATATACTGACAGTGCCGCAGCCAGGACGGATCCCAACAATACTGTCGAGACCCACCCAGTTGTGTGAGTGACAGCGGGCTCTGCCTATCTAGAGGCAGAGCCAGCTGTGCCCGCCCCTCCCCCATTCGCTCCTCCACTCAGCGCTGGAGGATCAGAAAAGGGAGGGGGGAATCCCTGCGGGGAGCGGTGACTGACAGTCACCACTCACTGCAGGGAGACGATTGAGAAGTGAGCGGATCGGCTGCATGTTTCTGCTCGCTTCACGATCAATAGAGCCGACCTGCGACAGCTTCTTTGTCACAGGTTGGCTCTAACTATGAAGATGAGTCTAAATTACTCACCTCTTAGTTCTCCTTTAACCAAGATAGGGGTCTGTTAAGAGAAGACCTCACGCAAAAACAAAACAAAAAAAAATGGGGCTCCCCTTTCATATCAGAGTCCCTCTTCAAATCAGGAGCTCCTCTTTCACAACAGAACCCCCCTTTCCATGTCAAACCCCCCTTTACATTAGCAGCCCCCTTTACATCAGAAGTCCTTTTCACATCAGAAGCCCTCTTCACATAAAAAGCACCCCTTCACATCAGAAGCCCGCTTCACATCAAAAGCCCCCTTCACATTAGAACCCCCCTTCTATATCAGGAGCTGCAGCTGTGGCAGCATGGCAGAGGGTGAGAGGAGGAGCAGGCCTGGATGGAGGAGAACTACTATCCTTTTATAAATTGATCCCAGCCTCCCTGGATCATTCCTTTTCATGGTGCTGGTAAAAATCTTGAGGCACCCCTGTGGAAGCCAGAGGGCAGATATTATAATAAATAAACAAATATAGAAAATTGCATACCAAGAGTCCTTGACACCCAAAATGGATATTTTTTAACCACTTGCTGACCAGGTGTTTACACCCTCTTCCTGGCCAGACATTTTTCAGTATTCAGCGCTGCGGTACTTTGACTGACATGTATTCCGTCATGCAACGCTGTACTTAAATGAATGTTATACCATTTTTTGGAGACAGACAGAGCTTTATTTTGGTGGTATTTAATCACCACTGTGGGGTTTTATTTTTTACTATATTTAGGAAAAATTACTGAACATTTTGAAAAAAAAAAGTTTTTTTTACATTATATTAGGAAACAACTATTATTACCCAATGTTTGGGTAAAATGATAAAGACGGGGTCACGTCAGGTAAATAGACACCAAACATGTCAAGCTTAAAAATTGTGCACACCCGCGAAATCGCAAACAACTACCATACCCAAAATTGACCATAGGCGACACTTTAAAAGCTTTTACTGCTCATCAGTATAGTGTTATCAGTGATTGATGTCCCTAAAATCATTGCTCTCACTGCGACATTTGCCGCGATATGTAACATGCGCGGTGTAATGGGCGCAATCGTCGTATTCGCAGGTATGCGCACCTGATGCATGTTTGCATGCGTGTATGTATGGGTGGAGACTTGACAATTTTTTTTGTTTTTTTAATTCTTTTTTATGTGTAACTTTAATTTTTTTTGGAAACAAATCTGCTTCTTCGGCTTCTCTCCAGCGTCTGAAGCTGGGGAGTGACATGAGAATGCGGAAGTGATGTCATATACACCACTTCTGGCACCGGAGAGGGGACCGGAGGGAGATCGTGTACCGACCTCCCTCTGATCTCCTATCAGAGAGGCACTATGCTGGTCCCGGGCTCGCACCGGGCACAGCGGAACCTGGGACCAGCGTGAGGGGTGTGATGACATGGTGATCAGTTTATGTGTATTGGTTAAGTTAAATGTGTATATCAATTGACTATGGACCTAGGATTATGGATATCCCCCTTGTTTGGTTGAACCGGGTGTCCGGGGCCCATGGACGGCTGTTGCGGTGGAGCCTGGCCCTCCAGCTGTCCAATTTGCCAATTCATTACCGGCTCTGGAAACCCAATACTGATGGACTATCCCGCCAAACGGAACTGAAAGGGTGACTAACATCATGGACATCCCCAAGTGGACCCGTAGAGGGTCTCACCGGGTCTGCCATCTTTTAACTTGGGGGAGCTATGTGACGACATGGTGATCAGTTTATGTGTATTGGTTAAGTTAAATGTGTATTGATATTGAGTTATGTTTGAGTGCGTTATGCTGTGTGACCTGGTTATGTAAAGACTATCAGCACCATCCCTCGTTATCTCCCATTGTTCTCTGAGGGAGCTCAGAACAATGACATTCTGGCCAGGCTGTCTGGAGTTCGTTAGCAGGTGGACACCTGTGGTGTTGAGCAGACCGATGGTCTGGGAGGAGGGGAGGTGGATGTGATGGGATTATATTCTGATTTCATCACTTGCTGTATAAAAGTTTGTGCAGTTGCTCAATAAAGCAGAGTTTGTTTTCCCTACACTCGAGCCTTGGCTAGTGACTGGGGAAACTGGGAGCTACAGATCAGCGGGTTCCAATATCTCCTCAGCAAGGAAGAAGACAGCGGCGGACATACTCATCCTGAGTACGGGGGTCCGTCACAAGGGGGGCCGCGGAGGGAGGGGGGTTGGGGACACGGGCTGGCAGCTTATGCCAGCGATTTGCCGGCTCTATAGCCGGCGGATTGCTTGTATGTTAACAGGCATCGCTGCTGGTTTTGAAATGTTGTGTCTTTCCCGCTCGTGCACGTCGCAAAGTGCGCACGAGTGGGCGGGGCTAACAGGCCGTATATACACGGCCTGTTACATCCAGGAAGCTCCCGGCAACGGCCGGCCAGGAGGTAGTTAACACCTTCTCCTCTCTAAAACTAAATTATGTTTAGTGATTATCAAGAAATGAAACAAATTAGAATAATGCCCAGAAAAGAAATGCAAACAGTGAAAACTGAAGTGTCCGCTTACATTTTATGTACAGTGGAAAAATGCCCCTTACATTTGTGGGGGGTGTAGTGCACCCTTACCATTGGTGGTCAGTGGAGAAATGCCTCCTTAAATTGGTGGTCAGTGGGATAAGGGTCCTCTTACTATGTTGATCAGTGGAGAAATGCCATCTTACATTTGTGGGGGTGCACCCTTACCATTGGTGGTCAGTGGATAAATGCTTCCTTATGTTGGTGGTCAGTGGGAGAAGGGCCCTTTTACTATGTTGATCTGTGTAGAAATGCCCCCTTACATTTGTGGGGGGTGTAGTGCACCCTTACCATTTGTGGTCAGTGTTGGTGCCTCCTTATGCCACCTACCTCATAAGAGCATGAGAGCAGAGGCTCCACTGGTCTCTTTCCTCTGATTTAGCCAAGTGTTGTTGCTGTCAGAACTGGGCAGGTACTATCAGGCAAGGGATCAATCGGCCACTGCTTAAGGAACTCCTATAGAGCCTCTGGAGAAGCCTTAGAGCAGCCTTTCTCAACCAGGGTCCCACAGCGTCATGCCTTTCCATTGTGCAGGTTGGCCGGCCACCAGCACAATGGAAATGAATGAAGCTAATCCAAGAAGATAAGACCCATTCAGAAAAGGACAGAGTTATATCTCTGTCAAGGGGGCGGGGAGTTCTCATGTGAAGAGGGCTCCTGAGGTGAAGGGTGGCTTC